AGTAGTGTGTCATACCTACTATCCAAGTCTTTATTATTCTGGTAAAATATACTTCACAGGCCCTCCCTGGTGGTGCATCAGGTTAGGATGCAGCACTGCAAGCTAGCCACAGCTACTTCAGTGTGAATTCTATCCCTGGCCCTGGAGGTGACCCACATGGTGCGGCAGACCTTTCCTGACCTGCCCGCTGCTCCCCTCAACAGTGTAATTCGTTGATCTGCCTGTTCTGCTCCCCACTCTGTCTCTGGTGAGTCCTCTCACTGCCCTGCACTTCTGGCCTCTAACCCAGTTCTGTATACATAAATAAATAAATCTTGAAGAAATATATATGGTAAATTTTGTTAAGTGTATATATATACTTAAGCACATTTACTTTGTTCTGGAACCATCACCACCTTCCGTCTCCAGAACTTTTTTCATCTTCCCAAACTGAAATTCTGTACCCCATTATACACTAGCTTCCCATTCCTGTCTCCTCAGCCTTTGGCAACCACATTATGTTAAAACTATCTGCCTTTAAATTTTACTGTGCTTGGTACATCGTAGAGTGGAATCATACAGTCTCTCTTTGTAACTAGTTTATTTTATTTAGCATGATGCTTCCAGTGTTCAATCATGTTGTAGCATGTGTCAGAGTTTCCTTTATAAGGCTGAGTAAGATTCCATTGTATAGCTATACCACACTTTATCTATTCATCCATGGTGGACACTTAGGTTGCTTCCACCTAAGTGGAGACACTTGTGAAAAGTGTCTGTAAATACCTTTGTATAAATATCTGTTTAACTCTCTGCTTTGCATTCCCAGAAGTGGAATTTTTTGAGAAACTATCATACTATTTTTCATATCAAAGAATCGTTTTTTTTTATTCCAACTAGTGGTGTACAGGGTTCCAGTTTCTTGATTATCCTCCAATATTTGTCCTTCTTCCCTCTGCCTACTTTTTTTCCTTCCTCCCTTCCCCCACCTTTCTTTCTTTTTTGAAATTTATTTTTATTTATTTATGCTTACAAGAACTGGGGTATAGGCCAGAAGTGTGGAGTTGGACTCACCAGAGACAGAGTAGGGAGTAGAACAGGCAACTTTACCAAGAACACTGCTGAGGGCAAGACAGGAGAGGTCTGCTGCCACATGTGGGTCAGCTCCCTGGTTTGGATCAGGATTGAACTCTTGCTGAGTTCTCAATGACTGGTGATAGCTTGATATAGCTGAGACTTTAACCCCTGTGCCACCTGGGAGCCCCCTCCTTTCATTCTTTTTTTTTTTTTTTTTAATAATAGCCATTCTAATAGAAGGACATTCAAGTTGTTTTTTAAATAAATTTTGTTATGAATTTTTCCAATATTAAAAAAGAGTGAATAGCAGTTAAACAGTTGTATAACCACCACCTAGCTGCAATAATTATGTTGTTTCAATTATAGTAAAGTTTCTCTACTCCCCATTATTAATGTTGACCCAGTCATCATAAAGTTACTTTTTTATTGTTAAATATGGAAAATAAAAATTTTATGTTATTAATGTGAATTATGTTATTACAAATTTTACTTGCATCGTTGCTCTGCCTTTGATTTAGTGACTATAGCGCTTTTGTATTGGTATTAACAGATATGTTCTCAATGTCATTCTTGCTTTCCTGTAGTGCAGATGTGGATGAACTTTATATATGCCCATTATCCTTTTTTCTTTGTATGTTAAAAATGTTTTCATGGGTACAATCTAAAAATACACAGGAGTAGCTATGATCACATGTTACACAATCATTTGTAAGCACAATTATAACAACATGTTAGTATCTGTCAAAATAAGTCATTGAAATGGAAAAGAGTAAAGCATCATCATATAGACATAACTTCGGATCAACTCCAGTTTCTTTAAAAAAATTTTTTTTTAAAGATTTATTTATTTATTCATATAGAACTGGGGTACAAGCCAGAGGTGTGGAGGGTGAGAGGCTTCACCAGGGACAGAGTGGGGAGCAGAACAGGCAGATCGACGAAGTACACTGCTGAGGGGAGCAGTGGGTGGGTCAGGAGAGGTCTGCCTCGCCATGTGGTCACCTCCGGGGCAGGTGGGAATCGAACTCATGCGGAAGTGGCTTAAGCTTCTCAGTGCTGTGCTTTAACCCGCTGTGCCACCAGGGAGGGCCTTCTTTAAAAAATTTTAAGAAAGACACTACACACTTTAACTTATAAACACTTCATTATACTGTAAACCTTAAAGTTGAGGCTTTTTTTTTTTAAAGACCATAACCATAAAACCATAGTATACCTAAAAATTAACAATAATTCTTCCATCATCAAACATGTAGTTATCACCCATATTTTTGTGCCCAGTTTCCTTGAATCTGAATGTACAGAAAGCAGAGAGTTTCAAATCATTCAAAGTTGGCAAGTGATGTTGGTAATGAAGGTGTATTTTTTCATGAGTGACAATTTTTAGTTTGTTAACCCTTATGTGCAGGAACTTTGCTTTGAGCCACACATATGCTTTCCTTATTTCTGATATTTGCTGGCATTTGTATATACCATCCCAGTATAATAAGTCACCTCCACTAGTAAATGAGGTGAGCCTCATCCTGGGGTTTGATTTGTGGTTGCCATTTAAAAAAATAATAATATATTTTTTACATCATTTTGTGCCTTTTTCCATCTCAATTGTAATCCCCGTGGGCTTCCCATCACCAAATCAACTGTGTGCCATCACCATAATCCAGTGCACTTCCCTCCCCTGTGGTTGCCATTTTAAAGTGCTCTAGAAGATAACACCTACAGGCTGGTCACAGGATGAAAGTTTATTTACCTTTCGTTGTTTTTTTAAATTATATATTTGCAACTGCATTTCCTTCCCTTGGGATGATGGGAGGGGAAAGGGAGAAGTAAATATTGTTATAAAATAAACAATAATGTGGCCCTCCCTGGTGGCACAGTGGGTTAAAGCACAGCACTAAGAAGCTTAAGCCACTTCTGCATGAGTTCAATTCCCCGCCTGCCCCGGAGGTGATCCACATAGCATGGCAGAACTCTCCTGACCCGCCCGCTGCTCCCCTCAGCAGTGTACTTGGTTGATCTGCCTGTTCTGCTCTCCACTCTGTCCCTGGTGAATCCTCTCACCCTCCGCATCTCTGGCCTGTACCCCAGTTCTGTATGAATAAATAAATCTTAAAAAAATAAAATAAAATAAACAATAATGTAAATAGATATATGACAAATAAATAATAAAAAAAGAAAAGAAAAAGAATAATCTCTTATAAATGAGACTCCACTTATAGAGTTCAGAAATTCCCTACTGGCAAAATCAAGTTGTTGGTGTATAAATTCTTTAACAATGGAATTCTTAAGTTACAACAGAACCATCTGAAAGCTTTGGGAAAAGAAGAGGAACATGAAATTATTTACTCCTTTTCTCCTTTTGATTTGCACGGTAGATGCTAGTATACAGTATACTCTACAGCACTTTATCATGTCAGAAGGCAGTCTTATTCAAGATATAGAAAAGGCAAACACCCTATGATTTAAGATTTCATCAACATTCAGGTATAAGAATATAATTCCATGGTCAGGCAGATTAAATGAGTCAAAGATAGAAGTAATTCTTTCCCCGTGGTTGTATTTATAATTTTTCCTTTGTGCTGTTTTACTGCTAAGTAGCAATTTTTGTTTATTTGCAGATAGCTTTCTTCTTTGTTGGGTAAACAACTTTAGTAGTTAAGATCACAGAGATTTCACAGTGAAAAATATTGTTACTAAAGTTATTTTCTGCTCTCCTTAAGTTGTGTGATATTTCTGCTCTCCTTAAGTTGTGTGATATCCGTAGTATAAGTAATCATAATACTGGTAATAATATAATGACCTTTACATAGCATTTACAGAGAGTTTTAGGCTTTACATGTTTTAATGCTTTACATGTATTTAATCTTCACAACAACCTTATGATACGGATATTATTATTACCATCATTTTACTAATGAGGGATACAGGTTCAGAGAGGTTAGTGGCTGATACTCTTAAGTGCGATTAACTAGTAAGTGGCAGAGATAGCAATTGATCTGAGGCAGCGAGGCAGCGTGGCGCCATGATCCTTCCTCCTAACCATTATACTGTACTGTACTTACTTGACACTGTCTAAGTAAAGGGAAATGTGAGATAAAAAATGCTTTTAACATCTTTGTGGGCTTTATGGAACTTATTATTTGTTCATTCAATGCTCACTGCAGAATCAGTGGTTACAGAGAGAACATTTAATCTCAAAGCATTTAGCCCTATTTTCAAACTAGTATTTTCAGATCTGTTCTCCATCTGAGACCTTGAATTTAGAAAAGTACACTTGAACTTTTCACTCGAATTGGCAGATCCAGAGCTTACATACAGGATATTGCCCTTGAGTCTTTAGACTATATGTGCTGACCCCCTGAAGCAGTAATTTGGATAGGTCACAGTGTTTCTACTAGAGTGGGTCGGTGTTAGAGGTTCTGACTTCAAAATGTGGAAGTGTGCTTTATACATATCTCTGTAGCTAGGCCACCTCTTGACAAATGGGTCCAATCTTACACAAATTCTAAAAGCTACTCAGAGCCAGTTAAATCCAAGAATATCTAAACATTTGAAGTAGAACTATGAGCAATGCAAAATGTTACCTTTCTAGAGCTTTGTGATAAGTAGAATAAATAAAACAACCTGCCTGTTTTTAAGTGTTTGAAAAGTTCAACCTAAAGGACCTTCAGATAATCTTGCAGCATTAGTTTTCACTGGGCTTCTGATTTACATAGCTTTTTTATCTTTAAGTCTGAGCCAATAGCCATGATTTGACAAGAAAATCAAGGTTCTTCTGCTTCCTTTGTCTCTTGGGTTATGTGATTCTGGCTGTGCTCTGGTTAGAAATGTCTACTTGGGTGCTTTGGGTCAGTCAAATGTGTACTGGAGGGAGGAACAGATTACTATTTCCACTCATCAAGTATGCATTTATTGGCGGCAGATGACTTTCTCATGCTAATTTTCCCCCCTAGGTTTATGAAGGCTTAGACATCATCACCAACAAGGTTTCTGCCCAAGAGCAGAGAATGTGCCAGCACCACATGATCAGCTTTGTGGATCCTCTTGTGACAAATTACACAGTAGTGGACTTCAGGAACAAGGCAACTGCTCTGATATCCTTGGAAAAGACGACACCTAGACTTGGGTATGCAGGACACACAAAACTGAGAAAGTTTTCTCTCTAGTGACAGTTTTTTCTAAGCAGTGGCACTTAAGACCAAAAAGTAGCATCCTCATCAAAGCTGTATAGGTTGAGAGATAGAGTATGCTTGCTATTCATTCTGTCCTCAGATGCAGCCAGCATCTGTTTTGCTGGGATGCAGAATTTGGGTCTCACTTTTAGATGTACTGAATCAGGATCCATTTAACAGAGAGTTCTGAGAGATTGATGTGTACTATAAAACTGGAAAAGCACTGTTGTGGTGAACTCACTGATTGAGGAATCAGAAAATCTGCATTCTAGCCTCAGTGCCACATCTTTTGACTGCACTGTGACCTTTTTTCCTCTTTTTATTTATATATATAATTTTTAATTTATATTATTTACATCATTGTGTATCCTCTGTAAAATTCCTACCACCTGTTTACTGTTTTTTTAAAAAATAGTTTATTTTTCCATCATTTTGTGCATTTTTACATCTCAGTTGTAATCCCCTTGGGCTTCCCATCACCAAATCACCCATGTGCCATCACTAAAATCCAGGACTGCACTGTGACTTTTTTGGAGAAAAGCATTTTTCCCAGTGAACTTCAGTTTCTCACCCTTTAAATGAGGTTATGAAATTAATTTGAAAATATAGTAGAGTTAAAGTTTCAAAAGGATTATTGAGTGGGGAGGACTGGAAAAAATTAGTTCTGGGTAACACCAAGAAATTTTTGAAAAAAGAATAAAGATGGGGACAGTCCTTTTATTTTAATACTTAAGCTGCCTTTAATATCTAGAATGCTGGAAGTTAAAATACATTGAAAATTCAGAATAATTGAAATGCTCTGGAACTTATATAACCATAGACAAATTTATATAAAAATAATTTTACATTACAAAGAAAATAGAAAACTTGATATAAATTCATGTTCCTACAATGTATGTATGTACTTAGCTTATGACAAGGATGACATTTACAAACAATAGAAGAATAGTTTTGTTTATAATTGTTATCTGTGACAGTTAGTAGTCCAGGAATACTGATTAGTTTGTTAAATACATATATCTTTTAATGAAACCTTGAAACAAATGGCATAATATAAGTTATATGATTTTAGAGTAAGGGAAAGCTTTGTAGATACAATTTTTCTTTAAAAGGGTTTTAAAATTCATTTTCTTCTTTTATTGTATTGTGTTAAAATGATCATGACATAAAATTCATCCTTTTCACTATATATATATATTTTTTTTTTAAAGATTTATTTATTTGGGCATACAGAACTGGGGTACAGGCCAGAGGTGCAGGGGCGGTGAGAGGATTCACCAGAGACAGAGTGGGGAGCAGAGGGCTGGTCAGGAGGTCTGCCGTGCCATGTGGGTCACCTCCAGGGCAGGCGGGGATTGAACTCATGTGAAAGTGGCTTTAGTTTCTTAGTGCTGTGCTTTAACCTACTGCACCACTAGGGAGGGCCCCTTTTCATTGTTTTAAGTATTCAGTTCAGTGGCACTAAATATCTTCACCTTGTGCAGCCCTCAACACTGACCACTTCCACAAGTAAATCTTTGTTTAAAAAATGGAAAACAGTTAGTTTGGAATATATAAGAATGTGTACTGATGAGCATATAAATCAACCAGAACTCCCAGATACCTGTCCTAGAGTAACCAAACCTTGCCACAATATATATACCAGGAATATGTGGCTGATCTTATTCATAAAAGCGTTGCTCTGAATAGCAAAAACATAAATACCCACATTCTTATTCACAGAAGTATGTATAAAATTTGCTTTGTTCATAGAAATTAAGTACTTTTTCAGTAAGTAAATTGTGATGATATGCATCACTGTGGAAAATCTGAGAAACAAATTGTGGAAAATTATTAAGATTCACATACATGTTCATTCCAGTATAAAGGTGATAACTAGTAATGGAAATAAGCAGTAATAATGGAAAGAAAAGCAAGGGAATGATGAAAAACAAACAAAACCAAAACAGTTCAGGATAGTGTTTCCCTCATAGAGCAGGGAATTAGGAAGTTGGGATAGAAATAAATACATAGGAAGCTTTAAAGGAATTGATAATTCATTGGGTTCATGGGTGTTTTATTATTAAGTTACATAGTTTACATGTTAGAGATGTTCTTGTGTGTATTCAAAATTTTGTAATTAAAAAAAAGGAAAACAGTCCACTATAACCAAAATTTAAAAAACAAATTATAAGTCAAGTAGAAAATATTTATAGCATAGGAAAGACAGATGAATACTTTGCTTAATACATGAAGTACTCCTAATGAATCATTATGAAAAATTCTTAAAGGGCTACGAGTAGAAATTCACAAAGGAATAATACAGGTGGTGATAAACATGAAAAAGATTTTACCCTTGCTGTTCACCAGGGCTATGCAAATCAAAATCATGAGATAATTTTTTTTTTTTGCCTATCAAATGGTCAGATTAAAATGCAGATACCAATTCTTGCCATACCTGCTGAACAAGGCTCTTGTATCAGCTGAGATGATGTATATGAAAGCCCTTTGCAAATTAAAATATATCACCAAATGTTATTACTGCTGTGGGACAGTTCAGTTGTTCAGAAAGAACTAAGTAGAAAATGGACAGCTAATTAAAAATTTCAAGGGCAACAACACTTCACTTAACATGATTGGAGATTTATTTAACTAAGAAACTAGAATCAGAATGTGAGAACTGAGAATATCCAATCAACCTTATTGATTTGATAGGTGAAAATATTAACTACTGAACCTCAGAAAGGAGAGGGTTTGATGATTGGGGGGATCAAAGTTAAATCTTTTCCCACCATATATCTCATACTCCATTTCCTTTCCTCTTCTCCATCCATCCCCTTCATGTATCTTACCAAATTTCCCCTTTTGTTTACCTTGCTCCCTTTCTCTTTGTTAATCATATTATATGTTTGAATTTCTATTGTAATTACTATATAATTATATCCTCCCTATATTTCCTTAAAGGAGGGGGGATATAAAATTTGTTTCTCTTTTTAAAAGATAAATAAACAGTATTACTTCTTTATGATCTTTGGTCGAGATCACTTTTCTCTCCACCCCAGCCAAGCCCACCCTAACCTCTTTGGGTTAGTGGGCTTCTGAAGGAAAAGAGGTTCTTTAATTCTGTGTCCATATATTGGGTGGGAAGGGGAAGAAGTATGTAAATGAGTGTTTCCTGAGTTGAAAGTCTCTTTTTATAAATTATCTTCAGAAGCAAACCCTTTAACAGTTATCATCAGCAATTACCTGTTCAGCAGAACTCTAAAGAATTCAAAGTAGTAGGGATATAAAGATAATAGTGGCTAATGTAAATTGAATGCTTACCCTGTTCGGAAAACTATTTCAGTCATTGTGGTAGAGAAATTATATGCACTGTTACATTTAACGCTCACAAAAACTCATGAGGATTTTATAGGTGAGAAAACTGAAGCTCAAACAGGTTGAATAACTTGTCCAAGACTTGTCCAAGAGTTGGAGCTGGTAATTGGAATCTGTCTTCAGAACCTGTGCTTCTCAGTTTACCTTGTAGAGTCTCAAGTAGCTGCAGTGTGTGCTACTACCACGTAATGTGGAGTCTGAGTCTGAGAACCATGGCTCAGAGAAACCAACTTACATTCTGCCTTAGGTGGCAAAGTCACACATGGATGTCAATTTTGTGGCTTCCTGAGCAGCTGGCACTTGATTTTGTGAGAACCCTTAGGTTCGTACTCATTAAACTGGTTGGGAATACCAAACAAACTTTAAATTTAGCAGCAAGGTCTAGAAAGTTCTAGAACTGGAAGGAATTATCTACTATATGCTTGAACCTCCAAGAACTGATAGGAAATGATTCTTAGGACTCATGGGAAACTAAAGACTGGTATCATTTTATCTTGGTTTCCTCCCTTTTTCTTTACTCACCAGACAAACATGGTTTCTTGCTAGTACCGTCCTTCTAGAGTGAGTCAGTATTCTCTTCTTGATGTTAAATATTGTGATGTCTTTCTTAATGTTCACATTGAAGATATATTTGCCCGAAACAAAATTCCTATTGTCGTGGGAGGAACCAATTATTACATTGAATCTCTGCTCTGGAAAGTTCTTGTCAATACGAAGGTATGTTTAGTTCCCTTGTAACTCACTGTGGAAATGGGTTCTTCTGTCCTGCCAACTAATTTCAGTGGGAGGAAGGTTGACTCTTGCCTATTTCTTATACTCAGCAACTGTAATTTCCCTACTTTAATATTCTGAAGCAAATGCCACCTCCTTGCATAAAGTGTGCTCCTCTAGGCTGGCCTAAGGGGAGGGGCTGTGTCTGGGAAAAATGCTCCTCTGTGGATTAATTAGCATCTCCATGTAAGTTAACAGTGTATTAATCTGATTCAGCATTTCCTGACCCTAACAGTCTTTGTCAGGGAGATATCCAACACTAATCTTTCTGGAAGAGGTAAGATTGCATAGAGTGGGACTTTATAAACTGTAATGTGCTGACAATTCTGTTCTACTCTTTGGTCACCCTAGCAGAGGAGACTGAATTGGACATGTTAAATAAGTGTGTTATCCCTGGTACCTGTTTATACTTCTGACTAGGAAGTAGAGTACCTGAGTACTTCCCTTAGTAAGTTCTACGTCCTTCATTTTTACGATGGTCTCACTTCACTGTTAAGGTCTTTCTTTCCCTATATAGTGAGACCTTCTGATGCATCTCTATTCTGCATTCCTAACACTTCCCAAAGTTCCTGGCACAAAACTATGACTCAATGTTTGTTGCACTGTTGGATTAAATTTACTTCTAAACTTTCATTTATTTAATAGCCCCAGGAGATGGGCGCTGAGAAAGTGATTGACCGGAAAGCAGAGCTTGAAAAGGAGGATGGCCCTGCACTCCACAATCGCCTACGCCAGGTGGACCCAGAGATGGCTGCCAAACTGCACCCACATGACAAGCGCAAAGTGGCCAGGTAAGAACGCCTGGACCTACTGACCCCAAACTGCTTTAGGGTTAAGAGCTGGCAGTTAGTTCTTCAGTTTGCCTGGGTGAGAGAGACTTGGTAATAGCAATTAATGGAGATTGATGTGTTCTAGTTCAGCAGGTTGGGAGGCTCTGAGTTATTGCCTCAGTCCAACTCCCTCAATAAATAGTTGCACCCTACTTTGTTATTACATTTAAAATGCATAATACAATATAGTTTTCCCTAGGGCCTATGTAATCTTGCTTCATTTTCTATTTGATCTTTGCTTGTATAACAGTTTTCATATAAATTTTTCTGGCATGCAGTTGGTTTACATTGTGATTTGGGTTTCATAATTGATTGTGCAATGCTGAGTTCTGCCCCGGCAGTTTTTCCAGTGGGAGGCAGATTTTATAAACTGTCTCATAGCTCAGCTCACCTTTACACATGTTGACTTTCTTGAAGGGAAGAGAAAAGAGGTGAATGAACTCATAAGGTCATGTTTTCTTAGGTTGTTTTGAAATTGCAGTTTCATGTTTTAGGTTTATTTTTCTCCTATGTTGAGCATGATGCTGTATCTGGCAAAGTAGAGGTTCTAGTAAAGGACCCACCATATGAATAGTTAACAGTCAGTATTATAGCAACATTTGATAGTAACAAGGGTTAGGGGCATTTATTTTTAAGGATTTATTTGTTTATGCATTCATGAACTGGGGT